TTTTAAATGCCAGACGAATATTCCTTTTACTGGGGAGGGCAGCGCTGAGGCTCTTCTACTCCAGCGGGAAAGATGGGGTCTAAGGATGTGTTTGCCTAAGACTTGACTCTAATCCATGGTCGGCTTCTCCTGGCAATCACACTCGGGAGACAGCATGCTGGTGCCCAGCACCCAGCTGGGATTTCAGAGAAGACTCAGTCTGTGAACCAGGGAAACTAAAGGTACTTGCTCAATCAATGAAGTTTCTGTGATGGGTGTGTGTTTTCTAAGTATGCTTCACCCTAGATAAAGCATCCCCCCTCCCCCAGTTTTGAAAGTTGATTGCATTCTACACATTCTTTAGGCTCCAGAGGAGAGATTTATTTTGTCACGTCTGGAAGCCATTTGAAAGGCAAACCTTGGACACCAGAAAAGCGGTGGTCTTCTTCCTCCCCAGAGCATCCTCCTTTTCCGACTCCCCGACCCCACCCTCCCATTATTTACTGGAAGGAATCACTCTGTTTTCCTCCTGCCTCCAGTCTCCTGTCCTTGGCAGCCCCTTGACTTCCACCCCGAGTTGTGTATGTCATCAGAACACCCAGTGGCAGCTCAGAAATCATGGCCAGGTTCAATATAAATTCCGTCTTGCTTAGGCAGCTTTGCATAATAAGTCCCTGAAAGTCTTCACCAGAGTAGATGCCGGAAAAGCGATTTATTGGGTCTAGCAGGCCTGAACATCAGACTGAGTGGCGTTTCGGGCCATGATGGGAGTTTTAGGGTTCAGATTCTTCGTCTGACTTTGCTTTTGTAAGGTGATACCCTCGGCCCCTAGACACCTTTCCTGTGATGTTAGAAAGGTCAGGGCCACCTCCAGAGGGACCACTCTAAGGAAGTCAGGCTGCTGCTGCTGCTGCTAAGTCGCTTCAGTTGTGTCCGATTCTGTGCGACCCCATAGACAGCAGCCCACCAGACTCCCCCGTCTATGGGATTTTCCAGGCAAGTGTACCGGAGTGGGGTGCCGTTGCCTTCTCTGAAGGAAGTCAGGGTCTCTGTACAATTACCTCGACCAGGTCTCATGGGTGCTTTGTGAGAGATGAGGACTTCTGTGGGACTCATCGGCTGCAGTTGAGTGATGCCAGGTTAATCCATGCCCGTTGCCTGAAAACATCTCCCACAGGAACAAAACAAGCTGAGTTACAGTCAGTTAACCAGGGTTTTGCACTCTGGTATTAAAACATGGCTGAAGAGTATCACAGGGCTCCCTTGTTTGTGCCCTTGCTTTGCAGGTTAGGGAAGCTGTACTTCAATCAGTGAATCTTGGGACCACCCCTGGTGGTCCAGTGGTTAAGAATCTGCCTTGCAAGGCAGAGGACTCGAGTTCGATCTCTGGTCAGGGAACTAAGAACCCATAAGAACCCACGTGCTGTGGAGCAACTAAGCTTGTGCACCCTAGCTGGAGAATCCGTGCGCCCCCAACAGAAATCCTGCATGCCGCACTAAGACCCGATGCAGCCAAATAAATAAATAAATAAATAAATAAATAAATAAATAAAAACCAGAAACAGTGTGAATGTACGTAATTTAAAAAAAAACAAAACCCGATTTTCATTGTTCTCCGAATTGCTGGGGGATCTGTCAAATATCCAGACGTCTGGATTACGTGCGCGCTCCGGCATCACTGCCACCCACCCTTCCGCCTGCATTGATTCTGACACAAAACCAAAGTTTGAGAACCACTGCCCTAGATCATTCTTCTGGAAGGAGGGGTGATGGCATTCTTGATAAGCACAGAAGGGGTGTTTCCTGAATCGCCAGAGCTAGCCTTCCTGGGGGTGGTCTGATGATAGCACAGCGCGGCATTCAGTGAGCTACTCAGGGAGTTCAGAGAAGAGGAGCGTTAGTTCTGCATCTTGGCGTGAATGCTGTAGATGGAGAAATACAATCTCGAGAGCTGAAGTGACCTTTTTAAAGAGGATGAAGAGAATTCAGTAGGATTTGAACTTATAGGATCTCTGTTTTCAGATGCCTAATCCTGTGCCCTAGAGAAGCCACATAACTTCAGGCTCACCTCATTTTCATCTGAAGAAAGAGGGCCACCTAGCATCCCTCAGCTGTGACATTTCCATGAGCTTGCTAAGGATGGCATGACATTTCCATCAAGCAATCCATAGTTATCACAAGCTTCTACATTCTCAGCACAGTGCTTGGTGGGGTAGCACAGAAGTATAGACCTCTTAGTCCCTGTCTTCAAGATGGGTGGGGAGAAAGAAGGACAGTGGTAGAGACTGGCCAAACATGAGTGAGACAATTAAGGAGCTCAGAGAGGCAGAGAGCAAGAACCACTGGCTGGAATAACTGGGGAAGCTTCCTGGAAGAGGCGGGGCTTCAGCCAGCCCTTGAACANCTATAGTTTTTCCAGTAGTCGTGTATAGATGTGAGAGTTGGACCATAAAGAAAGCTGAGCACCAAAGAATTGATGCTTTTGAAGTGTGGTGTTGAAGAAGACTCTGGAGAGTCCCTTGGACTGCAAGGAGATCAAACTAGTAAATCCTAAAGGAAATCAACCATTGGAAGAACTGATGCTGAAGCTGAAGCTCCAATACTTTGGCCACCTGATGTGAAGAACTGACCCATTGGAAAAGACCCTGATGCTGGGAAAGATTGAGGGAGGAGGAGAAGGGGATGATAGAAGATGAGGTGGTTGGATGGCATCACCGACTCAATGGACATGAATTTGAGTAAACTCTGGGACTTGGTGATGGACAGGGAGGCCTGGCGTGCTTCAGTCCATGGGGTCACAAAGAGTCGGACACGACTGAGCGACTGAACTGAACTGAGCTGAGGGAAGGCCTGTCTGCTTCGTGTACACAGGGAGGTCAGATAAGGACTGATTCATTTACCCATTTACTCATTCCTCCATCATCAACCCAACACAGCAAGCTCTGTGCTGGGCCTGGGGATAGAGCCAGATGTGGTCTCTGCTCTGGGGGCAGGCTCTGATTCCCAAGATCCTTGTGCAGCGTCTACTCTGTTCTCCTTGATGCTGGGGGCTGGCCTCTCCACCCTGCTGGCTAATGTCTTGGGAGGGAGCTTTGGGTGGGCACCTGCCAGCCTCAGAGACGCTGCAGTGGTGGCTGTTGTGTGTATGTGCATCACGTGGAGGGCAGTCAGCCTGCTCAGGCAGAGGGGGACCCAGTGGCAGGAAGCACTGCTCTTTGATGGAGACATCTACCATAAGTGAGTGATATATGAGTTGTTGAAAGCAATTCAACAAAGAAGTTTTGGGCACCTACTGTGTGCTGGGCTCCGTGCCAGATGTTGGAAGTGAATCGGTGAAAAGGCCAGCTATGCAGGGCTCTGGAGAGTACCGTTCACACTGAAGTTTAATATGAAAGGCACCCCCTCATGTGGTTTAGTGCAAAAACTAAGTGGCTGTGTGTAGTGGCCCTGCCCTCAGGGAGTTTATAGTCTAGCGGGGGAGACAAATATTAAACATTGAGTTGAGTTGAAAATGACGTTATTAATAGTATTATTTTTGCTGGAAGAAGACAGAATGAGGAGGAAGGGGACTGATTCTCTCTCTTACTCACTCTCTCTATGTGTGAGTGTGTGCTCAGTTGTATTCAGCTCTATAGCTCTTCCTATTCTATTCATTTATTCTAAAATATTTATTTATCTCATTTGGCTGCGTTGGGTCTTAGCTGCAGCATGTGGGATCTTTGCTGAGATTCGTGGGATTCTCTGTAGTTGTGGTACTCAGGCTCAGTAGTTTTAGCTCAAGGGCTCAGTAGTTGCGGAGCACTGGCTTAGTTGCCCTGTGGCATGTGGGATCTTAGTTCTCCCCCCCGCCCGGGGATGGAACCCTTGTCCCCTCCATAGCAAAGTGAAAGTGAAAGTAAAAGTCACTCAGTCATGTCTATTTGTGACTCCCATGGACTGTAGCACGCCAAGTTCCTGGGTACATGGGATTCGCCAGGCAAGAATACTGGAGTGGGTTGCCATTCCCTTCTCCAGGGGATCTTGCTGACCCAGGGATCGAACCCAGGTCTCCTGCCCTGCAGGCAGACTCTTTACTTTCTAGCCCATTCCCAGAGCTTCCATGGCAAGGTGTATTCTTAACCACTGCACCACCAGGGAAGTCCTGAGTCTTTATTTTATATAATAAACTCTGTCTTAACTGGGGATGCTATAGCAAAATGACCATGGAGTGGGTGGCTTAAACAACAGACATTTACTTCTCACAGTTCTGATGGCAGGGAAGTCCGAGATCAGGGTGGCAGCATGGTGTAGGTGAGGTCTGCTGAGGGCCCTCTTCTCTGGCTGCAGATAATTGCCTTCTTGCTGTGTCTTCACATGGCAGAGACAGAGAGACCCAGACGGAGGGAGGGAGAGAGAGGAGAGGGAGAGAGGGAAGGGAGAGGGGGGAGAGAGAGAAGCAAGAGAGAGGGGAGAGAGAGAGAGAAAGAGGAGAGAGAGGGGAGAGAGAGAGAGACAGGGGGAAGAGGGGGTGGAGAGAGAGAGAGAGAGAGGAAGTGAGCGCTCTCGCATCTCTTCTTCTAAGGGCGTGAATCCCATCCTGGGTGCTCTACTCTCAGGACCTAATTACCTCCCAAAGTCCCATCTCCAAATCCCATCCATTGTGGCGTCAACACCTGAATTTCAGAGACAGGGGGGATGCGATTCAGTCCACAGCAAGCACTAAACAATGGTTTTCTTTCAAGGGCAGCTTTAGGAACAGTTAACTGTGAGGAAAATGAAAAGGCTCCCCCCCACACCTTGCCAAATATTGCCCCCGCTCGCTAGTTCTTATAAAACACCACACAAGCAGGAGAAGACTTTCCGTGCCACCGTCAGAGGGAAACACGTTTCAGCGCAAACAGGAGGAAGGTAGCAAGTTGGCAGCGCCGAGTTTTACTGTGTGTGTGTGCGTGGGGGATGGCTGTGGACGTGTGGGCAGCTGAGTGAGCCCGTAGGAAAAGGCCAGGTGCCGGCGATCCTGCCACAGGCCTGGGCTCCTCCTTATCTCGGCTTATCTCTGTTTCTGAGCACAAATAGCTGTGATGGGCCAAGGTCCTGATTTTTACAGCCAGAAGGGACCTGTGGCCACGGAGCGGGGAAGGAGAGAGGGTAGGGGAGCTGCTGGAGACATGAAAAAATTCGGGGCCAGCGGCGAGGAAGGGCAGGGGAGAGTCAAGGACACCGGGCCTGGGAGAAGCAGGGCTGGGTTCCCTCCGGTGCCCGCTGCCACCCCTCGAAGCCTGGAGACTGCGGAGGGAGCAAGGCTCCGGCCCGACGTGAGGACTTCGCTTTTGGACACAGGTGTGAGGTAGGGCCGGACGCCCGTCCCCGGGTCAGCACACGGGAACGGGGGGGACCCTGAAGAGGGAGGGGGCCCCAGGGGTCTGGGTTGGAGGGTCGGAGCTGAGAGCCCATTCAGGACAGTGGACGTGGGATCTAAGTGCACAGGTGGGGGACGTCCCTGGTGGTCTGGTGGTTAAGACTCCATGCTTTTGATGCAGGGGGCGCAGGTTCAATCCCTGGTGCAGGGTTGGGGCGTGGTGGAGGACTAGGATCCCATCTGCCGTGGGCATGGCCAGAAAAAAAAGAGAGAGAGAACAGGCATGGTTTTTGAGAGAGGGAGGTGGAACCGTGAGGATGAGGAGCCGGCTGTCTTAGAGGGGGTCTGGCAGGCTCTGAAAATCACATGTGGAGCCTCGTCGGCAGTCATTTTGGAGAAGTCTTATTTTTTCCACTCTGAATCCTCTTTGGCTCCTGGAATCCATTTCTCCACAGATATGCTCAAGGAGGGCGCCTGGAAAGCTCTCAGAGGTAGGATGGCTCTCCCCCTGCAGAAGGGATGGCTAAGGATCCCACAGAGCCCTCACGAAGGCCCCGGAACACAGCCAGCTCTGCTCCAAGCCTCAGGCCGGGGGGTTCCTGCTCTGGCCGGGAGCCGGGCAGTTTGTCCCCCCTGCCTTCCCTGCTTCTGATTGCAGCCTTGAGTGGCCCGAAGTCAGTGAGAATATCCTTCTCCTGTGCCTTGCACCAGCTTCTTCGAGCCCAAGACATCTATCATCCTGGGGAAAGTCTAGCCCCTCGGTCTGGGGCAGACAGGTGACGGCTGAGGCTGGGCCGCGCCTGACCCACCCGGGGCGCGCTGGTCACCACTCCACAGAGTAGATCACTCACTGTCAGCCTTTCCCGGCTCCCTCTGACCCTTGCGGCTTTCATGCAAATGTCACCCCTGGGATCCTATCAAGTAGAGTTCTTTTTTATAAAGAAATGCCATATGGGTGGGGGGAGAGCTAAATTAGGTGTCTGAGATTAACATATACATACAACTACATTTAAAAGATGTAAACAACAAGGACCTTCTGTATAAGCACAGGGAACTGTACTCAATATCTTATAATAACCTATAATGGAAAAGAATCTGGGAAAGAATATATATAAATATATATATTTATAATATGTGTATATGTATCTGTATAACTGAATCACTTTGCTGTACATGTGAAACTAATACAACATTGTAAACAACATTGTAAGTTGACTGCGTGCTAAGTCCCTTCAGTGGTATCCGACTCTTAGGCGACCTCATGGACTGTTACCCACCAAGCTCCTCTGTCATGGGATTCTCCAGGCAAGGATACTGGAGTAGGTTGCCATGCCCTCCTGCAGGGGATCTTCCCAACCCAGGAATTGAACCTGCGTCCTTTAGGTCTCCTGCATTGGCAGGTAGGTTCTTTACCAGTAGTACCCCCTGGGACTTCAATAGAAAAAAGAAATACCATATTGAAAAGGACATTTTCCCCTTCCCCTGTTTAACTTGCTTTGCACAGGTTAGGGAGAACTGGCCATTGATTTTCTTCTAAATTGAACCTGCGTCCTTTAGGTCTCCTGCATTGGCAGGTAGGTTCTTTACCAGTAGTACCCCCTGGGACTTCAATAGAAAAAAGAAATACCATATTGAAAAGGACATTTTCCCCTTCCCCTGTTTAGCTTGCTTTGCACAGGTTAGGGAGAACTGGCCATTGATTTTCTTCTAGAGAACAGAGCAAGCCCTGTGCAGATTTTGGCTAATTAACTTTTGGAGAAGTGCCGCTTGAATTTATCAGAGGGTGAAGTCTCTTTTCCCCTCCAGTGTCTTAAAAAAGGCTTTAAACTTTTGTTTCCGAATCTCTGCCAACGCCTGGCCTGTTTAAAAATGACTTCCCTGGAGACGATGGCAAAGGGTGATGGTTGTCATATTTTTGTAACTTCAATCTTCAATACAGTTGTTCCAGTCCTCAGAAAATCTCTTCTGTTTACATAAGAGAGGTATCATTCACACAAAGATTACATTTAAAAATACACATTCCCCCTCAGCATGCCTGTTACTAATAACATTGCATGTTATGAAAGTGGAAAGTATTTAAGATGAAATTAATTTTCACCCAGCGAGCCACTTTGTTTGACTTTTTCGTTCCATTCGGTGTGGGGCATGGACTTGGCCAAATGCACTTCTCATTGTCAGCAAGTTCACCTCCTTGTTTCTCTTTTTTGGGATTGACGCTGTTAGAAATGAGTTCCAGGCACATCGAGAGAAATCTCATCTGGGATCGTATTGTACATTTCTTTTGTATTGGCTTCCAGAAGTTTGTTTTTCTAAATGGAAGCCCTCTTCTCTCCAGTTGATGAGTTTTAGTGTACAGTTTTTCTTCTTTCTCCCTCTCGTTCTCTTTCTTCCTTCCCTTCTTTCCTTCCTTCCACAGGTTCTCTTTCAGCAGAATTTCTGGAGTTGGAATAGTTAACATCTTTTTTGGCAGTCTGTCGGAAGATCGTGGGAAGCCAGATAACGGCTCCTTGCTTAGGACACCTCTCGGTCTTGTGTTCTTGTCAGTTCTCATCCATGTGACGCGGCTGGTCTCTGTTCCGTGGAGGGAAGGTGGAGCCCCCGGGACACCCCGGACAGGCTGTGTGCCCGAGCTGCCCTCGACGGTTCTGTTACACACAGCTGCATCGCCTTAGCAGAGGGAGACATTTAAGCTGGTGGGACACAGTTGCAAATGCTTCCCAGGAAATGGTTCTTCATTTTTGATCAATCTCATGATCCTTGTTTCTAATTTGATTACATCAGCCTATGCGCAGTTCTGTTTTATAGCATTCTGATGGGCTTTCATTCCCCCTCCCAATTCATTGTCAGCTGGGTGACTATTATGGTTTGATTACAGTTAGGTTTTGCAACTGCTAGACGATTTCTGAGCTGTTATGCCATTCTTGTGAGGGGGAAGATGCCCAGAGGTAGAAAAGGAGGTTTGTCCACGAGTAGTTTCCAAAAGACTCTTCAGAAGCTTCAGTGATTGTATCCTCCCAGAATAAGGAAGTTGCTTTAAACTTTTTGGTAGAATCTGGCACTTTGACTTTTAAAAAAGAGTAAATCAATCTCATGATCCTTGTTTCTAATTTGATTACATCAGCCTATGCGCAGTTCTGTTTTATAGCATTCTGATGGGCTTTCATTCCCCCTCCCAATTCATTGTCAGCTGGGTGACTATTATGGTTTGATTACAGTTAGGTTTTGCAACTGCTAGACGATTTCTGAGCTGTTATGCCATTCTTGTGAGGGGGAAGATGCCCAGAGGTAGAAAAGGAGGTTTGTCCACGAGTAGTTTCCAAAAGACTCTTCAGAAGCTTCAGTGATTGTATCCTCCCAGAATAAGGAAGTTGCTTTAAACTTTTTGGTAGAATCTGGCACTTTGACTTTTAAAAAAGAGTAAGAGGACAAATACTATAAGATAACTACCTATATGTGGAATCTAAAAAATACAACTAACTAGTGAATATAACAAAAAAGCAGCAGACTCACACATAAAGAGAACAAGCTAGTGGTTACCAATGGGGAGAGGGAAGGAGAGAGGGGCAAGACAGGGGTAGGGAATTAAGATGTATAAACTTTTATATATGGGAATGTAGCCAATATTTTATAATGTAGCCAATATTTTTTAAAGGAATATAACCTTTAAAAATTGTGAATCACTATATTGCACACCTGTAACATAAAATATTGTACATCAATGACACTTCAATAAAAAAATAAAGAGGACAAAAAATAAATAAATAAAGAGGACAGACAAATCCATTTAAATTTTTCCTTTTGTTTTTTTTTTTTTTGCTCCTCTAAATATTTTGGTTAAGAAATATTTTAAACTTAGACCCCCCCATCCCCCCATTTTAATGTCATTGTGTCTCCAGAGACCAAAACAAAGGGGGCATTCATAATGTCCCTTCAAAATGAGCTATTTGAGTCTCCCTCTTGGCTCTGAAAGTCCTGTGGCTCTTCTCCTTCTGTGTTTTCCTCCTTCTCTAAGAATCTCTGCTTTACCTGGTAGGCATTGTGTTATTATAGTTGCAATCCCCAGGACCATTTATTCACCTCTGTCTTGTGCCTATCGTTTATGTTAAGTATTTGATCTTATTATGTTTGTGTTTTATTACATTTAATCAGTTATATCAATGTTATATTTTTAGTCTTTGAAAAGGACAGTATCTTAAAATTAGTAGCATCACCCAAGGATACCAAAGATTCAGGAACCGAAAATTTACTGTGCTTAATCAGATCACCAATCCAGTAAACCTGAAACCTTTACCTGAAACCTGAAACCAGTAAACCTTTCTATTTGTGGATTAAACTCTTGGAATCGAGTTATTTTGAGTCCCCAAATTCAGCTGTTATTGCTTTAAATGCTTCTTTCATTTGTTTTCCATCATAAAGTTATTTTTCTTCAAGTGTGTGGTTTTACAAAATTGGTGCGTGCCCTTCCTCATCTCCTCACCCCTAATAGCTCTGTTTACAGGGTGTTTCCTCTGACCCTCTAGTCTTTTCTATAGGGTGTTTCTCTTCTATTGTAATGGAAGTCTTTGTATCTATGCTGGTGGTTTCAGTCCAATCTGGAGTGTCCTTGCTGGTTACCACTGAGGAATAAGTGTGGCTAATGGGGCGTGTTAAGGGGCAGGGGGCTCTGGAAGCTGGATGTCCTCGTAGACTCCATGTAGAAGGTTGTACCAGAGCTACCCCCATTCTGGAGTTGGGACCTCCTGCTTCCTGGGACAGGGACATGTTACTCTTGTGTTGTGTGTGTGCCAAGTCACTTCAGTCGTGTCCGACTCTTTGTAGCCCCATGGACTGTAGCCCGTCAGGCTCCTCTGTCCATGAGATTCTCCAGGCAAGAATACTGGAGTGGGTTGCCCTCCTCCAGGGGATCTTCCCCACCCAGGGGTGAAACCTGCGTCTCTTATGTCTCTTGCATGGGCAGGCAGGTTCTTTACCACTGGCACCACCTGGGAAGCTTTTGCTGCTTCCCAGGTTACTTTTGCTGCTGCTGCTGCTGCTAAGTCGCTTCGGTCGTGTCTGACTCTGTGCGACCCCACAGACGGCAGCCCACAGGCTCCCCCCATCCCTGGGATTCTCCAGGCAAGAACACTGGAGTGGGTTGCCATTGCCTTCTCCAATGCATGAAAGTGAAAAGTGAAAGTGAAGTCCCTCAGTCATGTCTGACTCTTAGCGACCCCATGGACTGCAGGCTACCAGGGTCCTCCGGCCATGGGATTTTCCAGGTTTATTCTCGGGGTCCTAATTTGTCCATTAATGGGGTCTCTAAGTTCCCTGGTGGATCTGGTACAGGAAATAGAACCTGGTGGAGACCTGAAGCCGAGCTGGATTCTGCTGCTTGCCAAAGCTCTTGATCCCCATTGTCTTGGTCTTCATAACTGCAAAATATTCCATGGCAGGTGGGTGGGTGACTTCAGTTTCCTTCTGGGTGTGTTCTGGTTTTCCCTGGCCTCATTCCCCCTCTGTCTGTCTCCCTGCAGGCTCGGGGACCAGTTCTACAAGGAAGCCATTGAACACTGCCGGAGTTACAACTCCCGCCTGTGCGCAGAGCGCAGTGTGCGCCTGCCGTTCCTGGACTCGCAGACCGGGGTGGCCCAGAACAACTGCTACATCTGGATGGAGAAGAGGCATCGAGGCCCAGGTGAGCCATGCCACCCTGATCAGAGATTGTGCAGAAATCCCTGCCACCTGGGTGGGCGTGGAGGTGGGACAGGATGTACAGGGAGCCTGGAATACTTTCAAGAAACTCAACTGCTTCTGTAACTCAAGCTTGGCACGTGCCCCGAGGACGATGCGGAACATTGAAGCCACGCTGGTGGGAAGGGGCAGAGTGAAAGAATTCAGGACGTTTAATCCCTAAAAGGGAAGACTAAGGCCACGACAGGTGCTTCACCTTTTACACTGTGTGTTGGTGTAGCTTAGTGTCTATAAGCTGGAAATCTGAAGTCAGATTTCAGTTTGAGTCTGAGCTTTGTCATCAAACCTCTTGCCCTCCGGTTCCTCATCTGTAAAATGGGGATACTAATAGTACCTACTTTAGGACTTTGTCAGGATTAAGTGAAAATCTTCATAAAAAACTTATAACCTGTGCTGAGCACATAGGATGTACTAAGGCTTCCCTGGTGGCTCAGTGGTAAAGAATTTGCCTGCTAATGCAGGAGATGCGGGTTCGATCCCTGGGTTGGGAAGATCCCCTGAAGAAGAAAATGGCTATCTACTCCAGAATTCTTGCCTGGGAAATCTCATGGACAGAGGAGTCTGGTGAGCCACAGTCCAGGGGTCACAAAAAAGTTGGATACAACTTAGTGATTAAGCAACCAAAACAACAAAGTATGTTTTCAAAAAATGCTGCCTGTTATTGTTGATGTTGTTATTATTATTATTATTACTGTGATACTAGTCTTCTAGGCTTCAGAGAACAGAATATAGACCACTGGGTGGAGATCAGGGAGGTAATTTAACACAGTTTTCTGGCTCTATACTGGTATATTAAAAAATAATTTTTTATAAAAGATTTCAAAGCCATGCACAAGTAGAGAGAAGAGTAAAATGAATATTTGTGTATTGTTCACCCAGCCTCAACAGTGATCAACTCATAGCCAATCATTTCATTTATACTCACCTTCCACTTTCCTCCTTGAACCCAGGTTATTTTGAAGCAAATCAAGACAGCAATACTATTCATCTGTAAATTTTTCAATCTGTATCTCTAAATGGTAAGAATATAAACAAACATACAAGCCATACCTATCAAAACTCAAAGTTAAAAGTGAGACATTAACAGCATCAAATATTTGCTCAACATTTATTTCTCCATGTAATTGAAATCAGGATCCAAACAGGACTTCTACATGAAAGTTGGCTGATGTGTCTCTTAAGTCTCTTTAAATCTGTAGGTCTCTCTCTCTCTCACTTGTTACTTGTGGAAGAAACTGGGTTGTTTGCACTGTAGGGTTTCCCAGAGTCTGGATTTTCTGATTGCATCCCCATGGTGTTATTCCTGTGCATTGGTAGAAACAGATTCAGGTTCAATTTTGGGGCAAGAACAGTTCCTAAGTGGTGATGTGTGCTTTCATCAGGAGCCTCATGGGTTCTGGGTATTTCTCTTTTATTGATGTTAGCAGCCCTTGATGAAAATTACCTAGATGCTTTATTTTATTAAGGGCTCAGAAATGGTGACATTCAATTTGAGGCTATCATTATTTCTTCATTTATTAGGTCTACATCATTTATAAAGAGAAGCATCTCCTTATTAAAATTTTGGTTATTGTGGGGTATAGTGCACATATGAAGGTATAGATAAATGATTTTCCCCCTTTAGTTATCAGTTTTCAAAATAATGAGCTGGTTCCCTTGTATTCTCCAAAGATGATCAATAAAATTATTATGATTATCTTGAGTACCATCATGAATCACAGACTTAAACATATTGGATAATTTTAACCCATTGCAGCTATTATTCTTATCAATGCTTAAATTGCCCCCATCTTTGGACAGCTCAGCTGGTTAAGAATCCGCCTGCAATGTGGGAGACCTGGGTTCGATCCCTGGGTTGGGAAGATCCCATGGAGAAAGGAAAAGCTACACACTCCAGGATTCTGGCCTGCAGAATTCCATGGACAGTATAGTCCTTGGAGTCGCAAAGAGTCGGACACGACTGAACGACTTGCACTTTCCACCTTGGACAGTAGGGTTTATGAGCAGTGCTGGTGCATTGAAACAGCCTAGCAGTTTCTGTAGCATCCTTGCTATCCTAGTATTGGGACATGTTTCAGGCTCATCTTGTGCACATCCTGCCCCAGACCCTGAACCAACTATTTCTTTAAAAAACCCTATTTCCTCTTTGTAAGACTATTATTTGGAGACTACAATCTGGTGGTGCCTGTTGCTCCTGGGCTGGTTGTTGATTCTAGGACTTTTCAGTGAGCAGAACTAAGAAATATGATTTCTTGTTTCTTTTTTCTTGTTTCTCTTTTTAAGAGAAAACACATTGTTAAATTTACTGATATTGCCCATTCAATTCAGTTTTACCCAGCTTTAAGTTAACTGTCTTCATTCTCTATCTCCTCTCTCCCACACTGAAAAGAATACTGGCTCTTTATGATGCCAGCATAGTTTTTTTGCTTTATTCTGCAGTAGACACACAACAATATCAGAATAAAATGAGACTACCAGCAATAAGGTGACTGAAATGGTTGAAGTTTTTATTTCTTTCTTTGCAATTTTTTGTTGTCTTTAACATATTTCCTATTAAGGATGTAGAGTCAAATTACTGTGTTTTGAGGTGGCTTGAAATAGTTCCTCAGTGTGTTTGTAGTGTTAACTCAATACACAGTTGGATTTGTTTCATTTTTGTATTCACTTATTAGGTTTTACTGTTTTTTTTTTTTAAATTTTATGTAATTACTTTGCCTTTTTAAAATTAACTTTTTATCTTGAAATAATTGTAGATAAACAGGAAGTTGTAAACATAATACAGAGAGATCCCCTTGTACCCTTCACCCAGTTTCCCCTAAGGGATATATCTTCTGTAATTATAGCATAATATCAAAACCAGAAAAGTGACACTAGTGAAATGTATGTGTGTAGTTCTATACCATTTTATCACATGTATAGATTTATGGAACCACCACCACAATTGAGATACAAAACTAGTCCATCACCACAAAGTTCTTCCTCGTCCTGCCCTTTATAATCACACCCACCTCCTCTCTCTTCGTTTAGGTCCCTTTATCCTCTTGCATTTGTAATGTAGTATCTTAAACATTTCCTCTACGTACATTGAAAACCACATCAGACAGACTTATAATTTTTGCTTCAACTGTCAAACATAATTTAGAAAACTTAAGAGAAGTGTCTATTGTATTTACTCATATCTTTGCTCTTTTGTCGTTGTTTCTTCCTTTCTGATGTTCCAAGATGCCTGCTTTTATAATTCCTTTCTGATTAAGTATTTTCTTTAACCATTCTTTTAAAGTAGGTCTGATAGTGACAACTCTTAGTTTTCCTTCTTCTAACAGTGACTTGATTTTCCTACTATTTCTTGTTTTTTTTTGTCTTTGTTTTTGGCCACGCCCACACAACATATGAGATCTTCGTTCCTTGGCCAGGGATCAAACCTGTGCCCCTGCAGTGAAGCACAGAATCCTAACCACTGGGCAACCAGGGAATTTCACTCTTCATGCCTGAAGGATATTTATTTCATTGTTGGATATAAAATTCTGAGATGATACTCCTTTTAACACTTAAAAAATGTCTTGCTTCTTCCTTTCAGCCTCAGTAGTTTGTGTTGAGAAATCTGCCATCATTCAAATTATTTTCTCTTGAAAGTGAGGTGTCACTTTTCTCTCATTGATTTTGAAAGTTTTTGTTTTTAGTTTTCAGAAATTTGATTTTGATATGTTTTGGTGTAGATTTCTTTGAGTTTATCCTTTTCAGAATTTGCTCAGCTTCTTGAATCTTTATATATATATATATATATATATATATACACACACACACACACATATATATATTTTGCCAAATTTGGAAAATTTTCAACCATTATTTCTTTGATTATAATTTTTAGCCTCACTCTTTTTCCCTTCTTCTTCTGGGATCCCACTGGGAAAGAAAATTCTGGGACTTCAAAATGTTAAATCTTGTGTTATAGACCAAGAAGTCCCCAGGCTCCCTTCTTCTCTCTTCCTCCTCCTTCTCCTTCCTCTCCTCCTTCCTTTTTTTCCGAGTCTACTGGATGACCTCTATTATATTCTCTTCAGGTTCATTACTTCTTTTATCTATTCTCTTCATTCTGCTGTTAAGCCCTTTCACTGAGGGTTTGTTTTGTTTTCGTTATCGTGTTTTTCAGTTCTAAAATTTCCCTGTGGTTCTTCTTTATCTCTTCTATTTCTTTGTGGGACTTTGTAGTTTCTCATTTGTCTCAGGTGTTAACAATTATTTGTTTGAAGCATTCTTATGATGGTGACTTTAAAACTCTTGTCAGACAATTCTAACACATGGTGTTGTTTCGGTGCTGCTGTCTGCTGTCTTTTCTCACTCAACTTGAGATTTTCCTGGTTCTTCATAGGAGTGATTTTGATTGAATCCTGGACATTTTGGCTGTAATGCTGTGAGACTCCAGATGTTATTTAAATCATCTGTTTTCACACACCTCCTCCGACACTGTGCCAACAGGGGAAGAGACGTGCCCCTTGTTACTGTCAGATGGATGTGGAGGTCCAGGCTCCCCATTCAGTCTCTGCTGACACCCCAGAGGGGTAGGGGTACCTCATTGTTTCTGAGTGGAGGTGGGAGTTCGGACTCCCCACTAAGCCTTCACCAAAGCCACCCCAGTTGGGAGGAGGAAGCTCGCCTTATTACTGGTCCCTATATAGCTTCCACTGCCGCCATGGGCTGTCACTTGACCTCCTCTGACCCTAAACCAGCAAGGATATTAGGATGCCGTGCTGGGCTGCCTCTTCCCTCGTCCTTCAGCTAGAGAGAGCAGGATTTTCTTGGGGCTTTTTTGGGTCTACATTTGTTGGTGTTTCTGGATAATCAGCTTTTCTACAACTCAGTCTGGCGTGTTTAAAACAAACAAAAAAATGCCCAGAAACTTGCCACCCTGTTGTTTCTTGGGTCTGAAACTCCCTGCAGGTC